CACTTGGAATGGTCACTTAAATATAGGCTAGAAAAATCAAGCTGTGGCTATAGCCCAGTTGACATTTTATAACACTTTTCTACATTTTGGTTTTCAATGCAATAAAATCTGATATTTAACAAAAAGATTAAGATCAAGCATTTTATGAGCAATATCGCTGGCTGCAAAAGGTGTGACGAAAATGGTCAAAATCGGTTGCGTCCTATATAAGCATTCATTAATTTAGAGACAATGAAATACAGAAGAAAGGAAATAAACATATTCAGAAAACAAATGCTGATGTGAATACAGGCATCTCTACAGGCACCAAGACACTAGTGTATTTATACGCTATGAATCAATGTGAAGGATGACTTCATTTAATTCATAAAATTCTAAATGAGTGCCATGTCAGCAAATTACATCACTCCCGGTCCTCCAGTAAATAGTATTGATTTCAAAACAATCACATTCTATCATACAGCCACCACATAACAAATTTTATTTGACCACCGCAGGAATATATAATAGTGATATTACATATTTCATAAAAAAAAAAAAAGGATAAATATATAAATACAAAGCTTCCCAGTGTCAAAACAGACTCTTTCATTTAGAGATGAACATACTTACCTGAAAGCAAAAACTATTAAGTAAATATGAACTAAAAAAATATAGAAAGTTTAAATATATGAACAAAAATACAATAAAAGTTATTGACTGAACAAAAATTAAGACTATTTTTTACCACATAATTCCCGTCATTCCAGGGAACATTTCACGTTTCATAACTGATTTCACTTAACAATTGCAATTATATATAATAGCAGGAAAGCACATCTAAACACAGAGAACATTAGAAACAAATACAAATAGGACAAATATAATACATGTGCATTAAGTGACAGGGAGGTAGACAGGGAGACATAGATTTGGATGTAAAAATAAACCTGATATGAAAAAGGTAGCAAGTAACAATTATTATTATTATTATAATTATTTGCAAAGCGCAAAACAAATTCTGCAGCGCTGTACAATTGTTGGACGAGCAAACATGTAATTGTATCCAGCCAAGTTGGACGCACAGCAACAGAGAGGTTGAGGGCCATCAATGAGCTTACATACGAGAGCGGTTATACAAAATAATGGAAACGCTTTCAGTTTCTATCAATGTCAAGTATCTTTATTAAATGCAAAATGGGAGTATAAAAAGTATGTTATAACCATACAGGCCAAACATGAGCCCTGATGACCAAAACTCTGGAGAGATAGATAGATAGATAGATAGACAGACAGACAAAAATGTGACGGCAGATAAGAACCATTCGGCCCATCTAGTCTGCCCAATTTTCTAAATACTTTCATCAGTCCCTGGCCTTATCTTATAGTTAGGATAGCATTATGCCTATGCCACGCATGCTTAAACTCCCTCACTGTGTTAACCTCTACCACTTCAGCTAAAAGGCTATTCAATGCATCCACTACGCTCTCAGTAAAGTAATACTTCCTGATATTATTTTTAAACCTTTGCCACTCTAATTTAAGACTATGTCATCTTGTTGTGGTAGTTTTTCTTCTTTTAAATATAGTCTCCTCCTTTACTGTGTTGATTCCCTTTATGTATTTAAATGTTTCTATCATATCCCTCCCGTCTCGTCCTTTCTGCAAGCTATACATGTTAAGTTCCTTTAACCTTTCCTTGTAAGTTTTATCCTGCAATCCATGAACCAGTTTAGTAGCCCTTCTCTGAACTCTCTCTAAAGTATCAATATCCTTCTGGAGATACGGTCTCCAGTACTGCGTGCAATACTCCTAGTGTGTTCTGTACAATGACATGAGCACATCTCTCTTTCTACTGCTAATACCTCTCCCTATACAACCAAGTATTCTGCTAGCACTTCCTGCTGCTCTATAACATTGTCTGCCTACCTTTAAGTCATCAGAAATAATCACCCATAAATCCCTTTCCTCAGATGTTGAGGTTAGGACTCTATCAAATATTCTGTACCCTTCTCTTGGGTTAGATAGATAGAATATTGTGAATATGTGAATTGTTTTATACAAATTTGGGGACACTAGAATGTCTATCACAATCACAACACACTGGTGGTGAAAATATGATGGCAGTTCCAAACTTAACTTCAGTCCATTTGAGTGAGGCACATATCTCCTTGCTTTGTAAAAGACTAATTTTCTCTTCAGCTAGGACCTAAGACTTTTTTTTTAAATACAAATGTAGATATCAATTGCTTTATTTGTAGACAAAAGACAAACACATGAGGGCAGCTCTATCAGATGCAAGGTTTACAAACTAGTGCTAACAATGTTTATTTGAAGGACAAAATAGAACATATTTCAGGTTGCCCTTTTATCAGTGCACAATGTCCTAACATTAGAAGTGCACTCAACACAAATATATACAGAAGCTACAATGGAATAAGAGACAAAGGTACCACCCCCTGCTAATTAAATGGTTAGGGTAAGCGTCAAGTGTTCAGGGGCAATCTTTCTTTATGAAGAATACTGCTATGGTGCTAATAGGACTCCCTCCAATGCTAACCTGCTCATGATAGACTTTTATGAGCAATTTCTGTAGAACAATTTCAGCTTTGGTTTTGATGTTTTTATCTGGTTTTGGTACATTGATGATTGCTTCATGGTATGGAGGGACACACCTCTGCAATTAGAACAATTTGTGAATTGTAGATTTAGAGAATCTAAAATAGGAGAGTTTCTCCAGTGATTGTAATTTGATTATTACAAAGAATTTGGTTTAACCCCTTAAGGACGGAGCCAAATGTACACGTTGTGAACGAAACAAAATGTAAACAAAACCTGGCATCTGCGCTACATGTCTGTCCAAACGTAATTCACCTATTTCATAGTAAATGCACCCACCCTTATTATATATCATTTTATTCAGGGGAAACAGGGCTTTCATTTAATATCAAATATTTATATGTGAAACATAATTTAATATGGAAAAAATGGGAGAAAATAAGATTTTTTTGATTTTTTTTAGTTCTACATGACATTTTAACTGTCAATGTCATAATACTGTTTGTTTTTACTGCAATAAAATACACATATTTTTATTCAGCAAAGTCTCACGTGTAAAACAGTACCCCCTATGTACAGGTTTTATGGCGTTTTGGGAAGTTACAGGGTCAAATATAGCACGTTACATTTGAAATTGAAATTCGCCAGATAGGTTACGTTGCCTTTGGGACTTTATAGTAGCCAGGAATGAAATTTACACCCATAATGGCATACCATTTGCAATAGTAGACAACCCAAGGTATTGCAAATGGCGTATGTCCAGTCTTTTTTAGTAGCCATTTGGTCACAAACACTGGCCAAAGTTAGCGTTAGTATTTGTTTGTGTGAAAAATGCAAAAAAGCGCCAAAAGTCGCTACTAAAAAGACTGGACATACCCCGTTTGCAATACCTTGGGTTGTCTACTATTGCAAATGGTATGCCATCATAGGGGTAATTTTCATTCTCGGGCTACCATAGGGTCTCAAAGGCACCGTAACCAATCTGGCAAATTTTAATGTGAAAAAAATGAAACGCAAGCCTTATATTTGACGCTGTAACTTTTGAAAACACCATAAAACCTGTACATGAGGGGTACTGTTGTACTCGGGAGACTTTGCTGAACACAAATATTTGTGTTTCAAAACAGTAAAAAGTATCACAGCAATAATATCGTCCGTGTAAGTGCTGTTTGTGCAGGAAAAATGAAAAAAACGTCACTTTTACTGGTGATATCATCGTTGTAATACATTTTACTGTTTTGAAACACTAATATTTATGTTCAGCGAAGTCTCCTGAGTAGAACAGTACCCCCCATGTACAGGTTTTATGGTGTCTTGGAAAGTTATAGGGTTAAATATAGTGCTAGCCAATTAAATTCCCTTTACTTTCGGCATGGGTTGTCATGCAGGTCCCGCTAATTGTAATTAATTAAGATACCTAATTATGTAAAAATATTACATAAATATATATGTAGAATTAATATATGTATATATATATACATATTTGAATCTATATGTGTATATCTATATAATTTTTAAAAAATATTTTTATTTATATATAGGTATATATATAGTGATATATACGTATATATTTATGTATGTAGATATATATATTATTTCGTTCTACGTGTATTTTGATATAAATATATATATATTAATATCACAATACAGTTAGAATGAAATAACACACATCTATATATTTTTTAATTAATTTTTTTAAAGTATTTTTTTAATTTTATTTTTTAACGTATTTACATATTTAATTTTTTTATATTATATATAAATATATATACAACAATAATTATATATATATTTAACCAGTATCAGTCTACGTGTAATTTGATATTAATATATATATATATATATATATAATTATATATATATTAATAGTAAAATACACCTAGACGGTGTACGTGTGTGTATGTATATGTGTATATATATATACTTAGATCATATATATATATATATAATATATATATATATGATCTAAGTATATATATTTTTTTACACTAATACATTTTATTTTCATTTTATTTCCAGGCAGCAGGGGGACCACCTGTAATTACAGGCAGCCCCCCTGCTGGCAATACAGAAGACAGCTATCCCCGGCCATGTGATTGTGGGGTCCTCGCTAGGACCCCACTCTCACATGGCCGGGGGGCTTCGACGAGGACGGACGTGCTGCGGGGGGCTCCCTGGGAGTCCCCCCCACCGCGATCGCCGGCGTGGGACCGCCGGTGACCGGGTAAGTAGGCAAAAACCGGAGGGCGTACAATTACGCCCGGCGGAGTTTAGAGCAGCCTATAATAGGGCGTAATTGTACGCCCTCCGGTCTAAAGGGGTTAAAAGAGGATTAAGGGGGGGGCGTGGCCGGAACCCAAGCCGGATGGTCGCGGATTGAACGAGCTCCGCCGACAAGGTTCATTAAAAGCAAAGATAAAAGCTTTAAGACTGCAGAAAACACTCCAAAATCACCCTTAAGGATGTCACAACACCGCTCGAAAAAAGCGGCGGACGCCAAGGAGAAATCAGATTTCTTTACAGCCCGCACACCTCAACACAAACCTGCGAGTCAGCAGGCCCAAGATGGCGCCGAGTCCGACACGGATAGTGAGTGCATAGCGGGTATGGCGATAAGCAAGCAGACTCTGCAGCAAATGCTGGTCGAACTTGCAAGCAAAATGCAAACCACAGTCCACACGGCAGTGGCTGATCTAAGAAAAGATATTGCTGACCTAGGCAACCGGAGCAACCAAGTGGAGGAATTCACAGCAGCCCATGATTCCATGGCAGATAAAGTGGAGGAACTAGAATCCAGGTTAGAACACTATGAAAACAAACGAATGGACCTGGAAGATCGCTCCCGCCGCAACGATCTCAGGCTCAGGGGCATACCGGAGGAGGTGCGACCACAGGAGCTGAGAGCATATGCAACAGAGTTTTTCTGCTCCATACTGCCTGATATACCAACAGACATGCTGATCCTAGATAGGATACACAGAGTCGCTAGACCCATGCACCTACCCCCCTCCACCCAATGAGATGTGCTTATGAGGGTACATTACTTCCATGTCAAGGACCAGATTCTGAGGGCTCACCGGACCAGCAGTGCGGCAATGGAGAAGTTTAAAGACATACACATTTACACGGACCTGTCCACCGAGACCCTGAGGAGAAGACGGACCTACAGAAACATTACAGAAACTCTACGCCAGCACAACCTCCAATATCGCTGGGGAAACCTGGTTAAACTGCTCATCAACAAGGACGGCAAGACACACATGGTCACATCCCACACAGAGGGCATTGAACTTCTTCAAGCATGGGGCATAAAGGTGAACAACCCAACCACGGGCCAACCTCGCAGCATCAGAACTCAGGGGGAGTGGAAGACAGCTAAAACGAGGCGGAATGCCCAGCAGATGGTGCAGTGAATAACACATTTACTGGCTGGGGTCCATGGTCAAAGGTTTGAACTGAGGGGGCTGAATGGGAGGATGGGGAGAGGAAAGGGGACATATCCCATTGGTTACAGGGAAGGACACCACGCCCTACCACACAAACATTAACGCACAACCCCACAAACGTAAAGTGCCCTGGCGGGCAATACACAATAGGAAAATATGCACCTAGAGGGGACAAGCAGCGGGGCAAGATCGCTCCACTGCCCCCCTGGGAGCCCTCAAAATGTCCAGCCAGGCCAACAAGTCAAGTAGTCATCCACACTTCATAAGGGAATGGACAAGGGCAACATAATCGTGACCCCCCCCCCCCACACACAGACAGACCCTCCAAAACTAGACGAGAGTTTGAACCACACGTAAAAAAAAATATATATATATATATATATATATATATATATATAGAGGATAAAGAGATGCACTCTCAGGACTTTGAAAAAATAGTTAATTTATTCCAGCAGGTATAACATCAAAGTTTGCCGACGTTTCGACCCATTCGGGTCTTTCTCAAGGTCCTTGAGAAAGACCCGAATGGGTCGAAACGTCGGCAAACTTTGATGTTATACCTGCTGGAATAAATTAACTATTTTTTCAAAGTCCTGAGAGTGCATCTCTTTATCCTCTATATATTTTATCTACAGGTGATATAGAGCTACACATTTGAAAGGGTGAGTGCCAAGAAAAACATTGCTTTATATATATATATATATATATATAAAATAATAAAAAAACTTAAAAATTAAAATTACAAAATTCATAACTCGTCCCAAACTACAACCCAGCAATGGACCAGACTGACCCGTGGACCAGGAGCCCCACACATGTTCCCACGTATACTCTACTGCATGACTGAGATGCACAGTCCTGAAAGAACACCACGCTATGACCATAAGTCACAAGTTCTAGAACGGAAACCGGAAGGACATTGAGCCATGTCCCCATTCAAATGCCATAGACCCTAACACTTAGGGGGCATATTGCACAGCAGTACTAGCAACAATGAGCCACGGCTTAAGGGGAGTATAGATCCGAGACCGAACAGGTAGGACTGGTCCACCTACCCTCAACCCAAGAAGGTTTAAGTTACAACCTTCGCATTAAGATCTATGGTCACTTCAAGTGTGGTGCCCATTTATTGTTTATGGTTTAAATTGTTTATTGTTATGTTATGCTATACAGATGTATGTCTCCTGCATGCTTATGTCCATACAATCTCATGTTCATCCAAAGCAAGACTTCTACAAAGCCACACTGCCCAGTTGTGGCCCCACACCAAGGATCACGCACAGAGAAACTTAACCCACCCTTCACAGCAATACACACAAAGCAGACCGCACTCGCCTACGCACTAGCACGGCTCACACAGATGTGGGCAGACATGCTCACTCAGACAAACCAGCGGCCCCAAAGCTGCACACTTACTTAACTTGAATTAATATGAGAATATACACATACAACGTCAGAGGGTTAAGCACTCCACAAAGTAGACACACTCTTCTCAAGGACCTTAAAAGCATCCAAGCTGATGTGGTGTGCCTACAAGAAACACACTTTCAAACAAACACTTTCAAACAAACGTCTTGGGGAAGGCACTGTACCCCCACCAATATCATGCCACCACATCCACAAAAAGCAAAAGAGTCTCTATCCTACTCAGCCGACATTTAGCTTTTGATGAAATATCATTTAAACAAGACCCACAAGGCAGATACATTATTCTGATCTGTACCATCAACAGTTCTACCTATACTATAGTAAAAGCATACCTACCTAATGTAAATCAAGGGGAGTACCTCCGTAACCTGTTGCAACTCATAACACAGCTCCAAACAGGTACCACTATCCTGTGTGGAGACTTTAATCAGTTTCAGGACCCCACATTAGACTCATCAGTGACACACACAACCCACAGAGCTAAAATACTTCACAGGAAATGTAAAACTCTGACCAAACTTTTACTAACATGCGGCCTATACGATACATGGCGCACACTGCACCCGAATGAGAAAGAATTTACACATTACTCCCAAGTGCACAACACATACTCAAGGATAGATGGCTTTCTGCTACAAAGTATGCACCACAATCGAGTATTAGCTTGTGACATAGGGGCCTCATCCTGGTCAGACCACAATCCGGTTACACTCACAATTGCAGATCACTGCAACTATAAAAACCACGGCCCATGGCGACTAAATGAACAGCTCCTCAATGATCCCCACTTTGTCCACACACTGCAGCAGGACCTGCATACATACTTCCAATCCAACAACACTACTAACATCTCCCCCCCTTACTCTCTGGATGGCTCACAAACCAGTCATTAGGGGAATTCTAATTAGGCGAGCCTCCCACCTCAAGAAACAGCAACACCAGGCACATATTCAAAATCTTAAAAAATTGCAAGACCTCCACAGAGCCAACCAAATCACTCCCTCGAAAACCACGCAAACCGCGATAGCCGATCTGCAAAGACAAATCAATGCCACAAACTTTCAAAAAGCAAGTTACGCACTAAAAAAATTAAAAGCCACTACCTTTGTCCTAGGAAACAGAGCTAGCAAAGCATTAGCCCAAAGACTTAGAGACAGGCAAGCACAAACTAAAATCCCTTACCTGCTGTCCCCAACGGGACACAAACGAATCCAACCTACGAAGATCTGTAATGAGTTCGCAACTTATTACAGTTTCCTTTACAATCTGAAGGACAACTCGCAAACACCCCAACCCACCCACGACACAATACAAGAATACCTACGTAGGTTTTAGTTGCCTAAACTCCAAACACACCACATTACACACCTAACGAGGCCAATCACTAACCAAGAAGTAATGGAACTTATAGAGTCGATGGCGAAAGGAAAGGCATTGGGTCCGGACGGTCTTATCAATATATACTACGCAACTTTCAAACACACACTATGCCCACACATAACAAGGGCTTTCAACCATGCTACACAACAGGGCAACCTCCTGACCAAATTCCTTGCAGCCCATATCATCACCCTGCCCAAACCAGGAAAACCACCAACAATATGCCAAAACTTCAGGCCCATCTCTCTGCTGAACGCAGACGCCAAACTGAAAGCTAAGATATACGCAGAGAGGCTTAAAACAATCTTGCCGGGTCCCATTTCTACAGACCAAGTGGGATTTGTGTCTGGCAGGCAAGGACCAGACAACTCGAGTAAAGCACTAGACATTCTACATTACCTCAACCGCTCCAAAACACAAAGCACACTCCTTTCACTAGACGCTGAAAAAGCGTTTGACCACCTTAATTGGCAGTTTCTGCAGAATGTGTTGGGCGGTTATGGATTCCCCCCCGAATTTCTTAATGTGGTGAAGGCCCTATATAGTTCCCCATCAGCTACAGTGCTAAATTCCGGATTTAGCTCCACCCCTTTCACAATTACCAATGGCACACGTCAGGGCTGCCCCCTCTCCCCACTGCTCTATGTGCTTGCCCTAGAGTCGCTAGCAATGGCTATCAGAGCCAATCAGGATATTAAAGGGGTCACCATAGGAGGCAAGGAATATAAACTTAACCTATTCGCGGATGACATACTACTCACCCCAACCAACCCGTCAATATCACTCCCAAACATACACAAAGAAAGACGAGACTACAGCAGACAATCATATTACCAGTTAAACCTAACTAAAACTCAAGTCATGTGCATAAACATATCAAAAGAAGAGAAAAAAAAGAGGTATCGACTTACATTCCAATACAACTGAAGAGACGACTTCCTAACATTCATGGGCATAAAACTAACTAAAAAACACACAGACCTCTTTGCTACTAACTATATTAAACTAGCCAAAGAAGTAGAGCACAGAATACATTTCTGTCATGGCTGGGCTGAATAGCGGCTATCAAAATGACAATCCTACCGAAAATCCTCTATATGCTCTGCTCCCTGCAGGTACCCCTGCCACAGACATACCTATAAAGGCTACAATCTAGTCTGATTAAATTTAATTGGGGAGGGAAACATCCCAGGGTCCCTAGAACATTACTCATAAGACCAACAGACAAAGGGGGACTAGGATTCCCAAACCTTAAGGCGTATTATTTGGCAACACAAACAGCTCACATTCTGGCTATGCACTCCAACTCATACACCCCCCTAATGGATGGAGATTGAAGCCAGTTGCGGTGGGACACCAGACCTCGCGGCGGTTATGTGGATACCCAGACGTTTGCGTCGTACACCCCTGGGTAATGTAAGGCCCTGAGATAAAGGACTAGAGGGCCGACAACATACTAAGGGCGAGAGTGGGGGTTGAGGTGGGAGAGCACATTTGCAAGCGGACCCAATTCACCAACCACCCCGCCTTATGCCCCTCACTCTTGGCACCTGTGCTGCGTCCCAACCCGATACTACAATATCACACCAAAGTTAAGCACCAGCCGATACAGTAAGACAACTGTACATGTGACGATAAAACTATGCTATAAAACTGTGATGTACTGATGTGTTGTATAACTGGCTTATCTGAATAAAAATTGTCAAATTGAAAAAAAAAAAAAGAGGATTAAGAAACAATGTAAAGAAAAATCATAAATTAAGAGA